AATCGGCACTCGTGCTTGGTATGTTAATTAGTGGACAGGAAAAGATTTAATTCGTCCGATCTGGATCTGTCGAACAAATCTCTACCTATCTGAACTGTACGGATAACCGTTCCACTCACTGTTATTGGGCGACTGCAGCTTCAACGTTTCGGCCTTCCCATACTCCACCAGGCTGCCGGTAGGGGTGGGCACTGGGGTGGACGGGTTCTTAGGGGGCGTGGACGACGGCGTTCGGTACAATTGCAAGGTGGTCATGCGGTGCAGAAAGGCGTCGATTTGCTTCAAGGAGAGCGCGTTGTGCAGCGTCTCCAGGGGCCGAATCGGCGGCACGCCTCCATACCCTTCTATAGCTGAACACGTTGCAGTTAATGGTGAATGGCGGCAGTGAAGCGGCGCTTACCCGAGCCACTGGCAGTGCTGGGAATCATATCGCGCAGATTGGGGGCGCTGGAACTGCCGGAAATCACCGCCGTCGAGAAGAGGCTGTTGGTGCTTCCGGCCACCATCTTCTTCACAGCAGGCATCCCGTAGCTGAGCCCCATAACCTTAAAGTAGCTCATCTGTCCGGAAATACTGTGTCGGTGGCGTTTGGTGGCTTGCCCGCACTCTGCATAGGACACGCAAGGGTTGATCACACAGGGATTGGCGGGGTGGTGCGACAAAGAGCGACGCGAGGAGAAAAAGGCCAGGAGATGGGAGGCGGCGCGTGGAACGCAAAGCGGACAGTGCGGCGCATCCGGATCGTGCAAGCGACGCGTTTCAATGGGGGCGAGCCGGTTGGGCGTGCCAGTTCCGGCCCTGTTCAAGCTCTCCCGGTACTTTTGCAGCAGGAAACTCTTGTCCGAGCTGCTAATCCACTCCCTTTTCAAGACATTCGGATCGGACAGCGAGCGCTGATGGACTTTGCAGTCGGCCTGCTTGACGTCCGTGTCCCAGTTCGCCTCCAGGGACGTCTCGTCCGTCTGGCTGTCCACCGTGGTCTGTCTGGCCAATCGGCTACGAAACCTCAGGTCGGAGAGCGGCAGTTCGTTGGTGCTGCTCGTCTTGCACGAGTGCCGGCTGCTGCTCAGCAGCTCAGAAGTGAACAGCGCCAGATTGGTCTCCGTCAGCGGCAAGTCGCCCGAGGCAAAATCCTCGACAGCCACCGTTAACGGCGAGTCGCCGGGCGACTCCAGATCAATCGAGCCCGAGATCGGACTGAGACTGGACTGGCCGTGACACAGCGACACCCGGCAGTACCCCTCGAGTGGATTAACAGCGTGGATCGGCATGCCACAGGGGGCGTTAGTGGGAGTGGTGGACAGCTCCGGATCATCAAACACGTCTTAACAAGCATGCACAACGGGGACCACAAGCGGGACAGGAAGAGAGAAACAAAAGATAAAGTGAGTAAAATTGTTCACCATCACCAGCCAGTACCAAACAGTGCACACAGGCTTCAACATGCGAATCACGTTAAAGCGACACGAAAAGTCACACAAAACATGCAAAGCGTTTAGGATAATTCAAGTGTAGGCCACGGGGGGCGGTGACTGGGGAGATGTACCGTGTCCTAGACGGGCAACCGATACATCTCCCCTCATTCGAAATGTAACACCAGTCGCACGGGGTTCCCAGACAGATGAGGGTTGGACACAACTTGACTTTGCCCATGCTAAGCGAAGCTACGCCCTAATCGGGCGGATCACATCCAGCCCAGCCGATACAAAGGATTTGTATGGTGACAGCATTGTCAATATATCCGTATATACTCGTCTTTATCTATGAGTATATCGCCCCAAAGTTACGAGTGGCTCATCGCAGTAACGCCTAAGGCCCATTTTCATCAAGCGATCTTAAACCAGTTTAACGTCTG